CCTGCTCCTTCCTAATACTTTTCCCTCTTTATTTGACGGGTTGATGCAACTGTCTAAAGAAATCTGTATCAGTGCGTTTAAAAGGAACATGCATTTAGCCCACCCTTGCTGTAGTAATGACAGAAATTCTGGACATGCAACTACGAAACTTGCATCTTGTTTACTTTTTCAAAATAAAAAAACACAGCTCTATACTGTACACACACAGCGTCCATTGTGTTTTGCACTTATGGAAACTCATCTAATGGCTCTGACATCTTGCTCTGTTTCTCCTTAAACACTGTTTATCTTGGCGGCTTTCTTTTAAGCTACCATTAAACTGCACTATTCACAACCCTCAAAGTATTCACCCGTCTGAGTTTGTACAGTTCAATGGCTTCTAAAGAATTACACTTGACCTTTGGCGGCGAAGATATTTAAATGTGACCCTGGAGCACAAAGCCAGTCATAAGCAGCACAGGTATATTTGTAGCAATAGCCAACAATACATTGTATGGGTCACAATTATACATTTCTCTTTTATGCCAAAAATCATTAGGATATAAAGTAAAGATGATGCTCCTTGAAGATATTTAGCAAATTTCCTTCCGTAAATATATCAAAACTTAATTTCTGATTAGTAATATGCATTGCTAAGAACTTCATTTGGACAACTTTAAAGATGATTTTCTCAATATTTAGATTTTTTTGCACCCTCAGATTCCAGATTTTCTAATATTGTCCTCTCCTAACATATGGAGTAATGCAACATTGTAATGCATTACTTTTAAAAGTAACTTTCCGCAACACTGACTGTATATTATGTCTATAGTTGGTCTTTGACAAACTGTTTTTGCACCTCTTTTGCTTTTAACCAAGTTGCTTTGGATAAAAGTGTCTGCTAAACACTTAAATGTACATGTAATGTAAATGTAACTCAGTATGAAATTCCTTTATTTTTTTAATGTTCAGTGCTGGCCAAAATGATAGAACACTAGTATTCTCAGCAGCTAAAAATGGTTTTAAGTCAGTTATTTCTATCTTTTGCTGTAGTGTGTCAGGAGGAAATATCAGTTTACATTTCCAAACATTCATTTGGCCATTAATTGTAATAATACAGTGAGATATATGTTAGTGCTGCACACAGAGATCTGATCTGATCATCATCAGTCTGTCTGGAGTCACATGAAGAAACAGAACAAACTGAGACAGACTCAATCCAGAAGAACTGATGCTTCAAGAAACCTCCTGCGAAGCTCCCGAGAAACATTGTATTTTAATTTCAAACATTCATACAAAGGCTGTCACTCGTGCATACCCTTATCTACCCCAAAAGTATCTTAAATGCACAAAGAAGTACTTTTTGAAAGGGTACCACCTGAGAAACAACAGAGTATATGAAGTGTGTCTAACACTAAGTGCACTAAGTGCTCAGGCTTATGGATTGTGTGTGAAAGTGTGGTGCAGTTCTGTTTTCCCAGCTTTTTAGAGGTTTCTAATCCTGGAGAAGCCCAGTGACATCACCCCGGTCCAATATGCCCCGCGCGTCGCACCCTAACCGTGCTGAAGGGGCTAAATCCTCTCGCAGAGACCTGGATCTCTCCCTCTGTCGTGGGTCACCGCGTCACGTGATCAGGAAGCGTGGCTCCAGTCCATTTCCTCTGCTGGCTGAAGGGGAACATTGTTACAGAGAGGGCGGCGCTGGGCGGCTCTTACACGCTGGGTTAAAAATAACCAGCATATTTAAGGCCGAGGAGGAATCCCTTCAAGCTCAGAGGCAGCGCAGACTGCCGCGACAGGAGCTCGTGCCTGCTCCTTCCTAATACTTTTCCCTCTTTATTTGACGGGTTGATGCAACTGTCTAAAGAAATCTGTATCAGTGCGTTTAAAAGGAACATGCATTTAGCCCACCCTTGCTGTAGTAATGACAGAAATTCTGGACATGCAACTACGAAACTTGCATCTTGTTTACTTTTTCAAAATAAAAAAACACAGCTCTATACTGTACACACACAGCGTCCATTGTGTTTTGCACTTATGGAAACTCATCTAATGGCTCTGACATCTTGCTCTGTTTCTCCTTAAACACTGTTTATCTTGGCGGCTTTCTTTTAAGCTACCATTAAACTGCACTATTCACAACCCTCAAAGTATTCACCCGTCTGAGTTTGTACAGTTCAATGGCTTCTAAAGAATTACACTTGACCTTTGGCGGCGAAGATATTTAAATGTGACCCTGGAGCACAAAGCCAGTCATAAGCAGCACAGGTATATTTGTAGCAATAGCCAACAATACATTGTATGGGTCACAATTATACATTTCTCTTTTATGCCAAAAATCATTAGGATATAAAGTAAAGATGATGCTCCTTGAAGATATTTAGCAAATTTCCTTCCGTAAATATATCAAAACTTAATTTCTGATTAGTAATATGCATTGCTAAGAACTTCATTTGGACAACTTTAAAGATGATTTTCTCAATATTTAGATTTTTTTGCACCCTCAGATTCCAGATTTTCTAATATTGTCCTCTCCTAACAAACCATACACCAATGTTAAGCTCGTTTATTCAGCTTTCAGATGATGCATAAATCTCAATTTTAAAAAAACTGACTGAAGCTTTAACAATCCCATCAGCAAGTCAAATACATTCATTCACTGATGATAATTTAACCCACTCACTACCGATGGCAGTATCGTGGAAATTAATCTTTACACTCCACCATATGCACATTTACTGAAAGCATCAAAAGAGGAGAGATCACCTGTTTATTTAAATATATAATTTGCATTCTGATTCCTGGATAGAGAGTCTGTCAAGATTTTCCCACAGGTACAGAGCAGTAAGACAGTCAATATTTGACTGCAAATCATAAGTCATCCTATCAGAACGTGAACACACTATGCCAAGGAAATGAATGGAAACACCTCTTAGAGGCCTAAAAATGTGTTTTAGCTCTGAAATGCAAACACATAGTGAGGATATTCCAAACCATTCCTGTTGTTATTGAAACTGGAAAGTGTGACATTTGCATAAAAAGGTGTAAAAGTGCATCACTGCCATTATAAAGACATAAACTCATTTCTAATTCCATTCTTTTTCCTCACGTTCGTATATTGTGCTTTCAAAAAAGCAACTTAGTTTTACATACCTAGCTTTGCAAGGAAGGTTAACAAACAACAGATGACATCAACACACTCCTGTAAGCCTGATGCTTTGTCATGAAACCAAAGAACCAAGTATATCTCTCTGCTCAGACTGGACAATCAAGATGTCCTTTCTCACTAAATAAAATCCTGAACATTACACGCAAACAGTGCAAGATCAAGTGCAATAAAACAGACGTATCTATCCAAGCTACATCAATCGTGAAATTATAATACAAGTACAGGTATCGTGGGACTGTTTGAGCGTGAGAATGTGTGTGCGTGCATCTGTGTGTTAAAGGGGCAACATCCAGTGTGTTCTGTGGCTAAACGAAGGCCTGCTGTTGACAGAGCCAAACGAACAAGATCCTGATGTAACAGGATGGTCTCCGAGCTCGTGTTTGCTCACCATACAAAGATGATTGTAGACACTGCGGAGGAGAAACCAGTTTATGTAGAAGCCGCCTCTTAATACACAGCACTAGCCTAATGGCTCATCACAGCACAAAAATGTTTTTAGCATTAAAACAAAATTATATTGATGTGTCTTGATTCAAAATGACAAGGGCCGTGAAAAATGATCCAACTGTTCATATTGCTTAATATGTTCAAATACTGCCACCGAAGAGTTACAGAAACACAACTGAACACTCCATTAAATGAAATATCACAGTGACACTGGGTCTGCTATCCTTCGTGGCTGTTTTACAGAAGTTGACCCTCAATGACCTTTATTTTTAACAAAAAACCCCCCCAAAAATAGTGAGATGTTAGCTCAGAATTTTGAGAATTGATAGAAACTTGGAGTTGTGAGAACAAAAGTCAGATTTCTGAGTTTATATCTCACACTTTTGTGTTTTTATCCTACATTTCTGACTTTTTTTTCTCAGAACTGCAAGAAACGGTGTCTGAATTCTGAGATAAATAGTGGCAATTATCTAATTTCATGAATTATATATAAATCCCGTGGCAGAAACGGCTTCCAAATTTAGAAGTGCCTCTGATACAAACCCTTCTTAGAATGCATATATTTTACATTTACAAAATATATTCAAGGAACATGATCTTTACTTAATATCATAATGATTTTTGGCATAAATGAAAAATGGATCATTTTGACCCATACAATGTATTGTTGTATGTGCGACTTAAGACTGCTTTTGTGCTCCAGGGTCACAGATATCTAAAGTTCTTTACCGTGCACTGATTACAAAATACTTCTAGCAGTGTGAATTCTCTTTCAGGCACTGTAGCTGGAAACATAAACACAATGCAGCATGATGGGGTCTTTTAATAATTCATAATAACATCAGAGGCCAATTTGTATCTAGAAATAATTTGTGTTGAAGACCAGAACGAGGTCGCATTTGAACTGAAATCAACATGTCAGCAATAGAAACCATCACAGAAGTTCTAATGGTTTCCACTACAAACACCATTACAAACAATCAACGTCTAACTATTAAAACCATTAAAAAATGGTTTTCTGTAGTGTGTTTTGGGACATATTCCATTAGGATTTATTGGTTTTGACAAGCCACCAATAGAAGGTGACCGATTACCAGTAGAAACCCACAGGCACCATTATAGTTTCCATTAAAACCAACACAAGTCCCATTATAACCAGTAAAACCATTACACATTTTGTGATGTTGTCTATTTGAAGAGTTCAGATGCAAAAGCCTCTAAGTGCCATCTGAAAGTTTCATCTAAAATTAGCATTTTTATCAGGCTCCTATGTTTAAACCTAAACATAGGAGCCTGATAAAAATGCTCATTTTAGATGAAGATTTCAGACGGCATGTAGAAGCTTTTGCATCTGAACTCTTCATTTGTGTTTTTTTTCCCCAGTAGGGAAGATATTGATTTTGACACACTTTTGATGGCTATGTCTTTGAGAGACTTACCTTGTCTTGTTCCCTCTTCCCTCTGCATGTCTCTGTGTGTTTGGAATAAGAGATGGAAGGAGGAGATTTCTCACCTGAAATGCCCCTGCATGTCTACAGGTGGGACCTGCACTGACCAGGACGTCCCTTCCGTAATGACTAAGAAGGAGCCAGAAGACCTGGACCTGTTGGACTATGATTTTATCCTGTCGAACAGCATGCTTCAACAACAACAACAACAACAACAACAGCAGGAGGCCTTAATGGCCAGCACCTCCAGAACTCTTCCGCCTTCACCTACGCCCTACCCCTATCCGATGCCCTCTCCTCAGGGACAAGAGTCCAGCATGTTGTACAACATCCCGGACATCAGCGACGTATCTCCCTCGGGAGGTTTTGTCGCCGAGTTGATGAGGCCGGAGCTGGATCCTGCATATCTTCAGCCCACGAGCCTCCACGGAAGGTTTGTGGTGAAGACCACCATGGACATGACCGATTACAGCCAAGGGCTTAGTAAGGGAGGCTCAATGTCGGACTCTTCCTCCCTGCCGTTTGCATGTCCTAGGATAAAGCAGGAGCATCCTAGCACTTGTGGCATCACCCGACCGATGGATCTCCATCTGGGGGTGAACTCGCGGCCTGGAGTCAGCCAGAGACCGCTGCTGGAGCCTCAAGGTTTCAGCACGGCCCAAAGGGCCATGGGGCCCAGTCGCTCTTCCACTTCCTCTCTGTCTCCGGACGAGCATCCTCAAGCTCAGGTTCTGGGGCCCCCTCCGATCTCCTTGGCCCCGGAATATCACCCCTCGCCGGGTTATTCTGGCTTTCCACAGCCTCCCGCCCAGTCAATGCAGTACCAAGGTCAGTCACAACTCAAACTCTTCATTTATGTTATACGTTACCTTACCTTTAACTCTTTCCCTGCCAAACACGGAATTTTCCGGGTTTCTGTGTTCTCACTGTTATGCGCTAGGGGGCGCTATCACGCATCTCCTGAATGAGTCTAGAAACTCTTGATCAAAAACACAGACCAGGAAGACGCAGAAACGAGCGATCTAATATGTAAGCATATGCATATGAAAAATAATGCGATCATCAATATTAACCGCATATAAATGAAAACTGACTAATGTTAGCGAGTGAAACGTGGATCCAGAAAAGTGGTGAAGGCCTGTGAAGCTTTGGGAGCGCTGATGGAAGCCATCTACTGCATCTCTGCTTTGATAATATTGCTGAATATGATCCAGATGTAGTATTGGATAAAAATGCGATTTTCTCAGCTTTTTTGCTCAGAATGTTGCTTTTTTATGAAACCTACCTACATTCAAGTGTTGATAAAAAAAACAATGCTTGAAGCTAGAATAAAACAGATTTTTTTGTTTGAAAGTAGTGTCTGATGCATGTTCAGATGTTCATACAACAAAATATTCTGGGGGCCATGAAATTTCAGTGAAAATCAGCAAAAATGCTGGCGGTGGCTGGCAACTTTTTTCAGAAACGCTGGCGGGGAAAGAGTTAAAGGGGTCATGAACTGCCTGTTTTTTATTTTGTACTGTTCTCTGAGGTCCACTTATAATGTTATCAAGATTTTTACATCAAAAAACATCATTTAGAAGTAATAGGCTATTTTCTGTCCTGTTTTTACCCCCCTCATCAGAACACTGTTTGAATAGGCGTGGCGGATTGTAGACTCGGAAGTAAACGCCCACTGCGGTGATTGGCTAACAGCTGGCTAATGCATAAATAACGCAATACATATCAAACGATGTGTAAGAAGAGACAAAGCAATAGTGATCATGTAATAACAGTTACTCACACGTGTGTGTTGCGACATTACTGTCAGATCCAGTATAGTCACACAGCATCGGCTTTAATTTCAATCTTTCTGAAAATCCAGCGTCGAATTGTGCCTTGTCTAACAAATTCACGGTAAAATGTAGTGAACAGAAGACAGAGATCTTACTGACGTGGTCTGAAGTTCATCCACTCTTTCCTAACGTTGGGATCAGAAGGAAGGCAATGCAAACACTGTTTTTCCACAGCTTGGAACAGCACAACGTCTTGTCTTCGGAGCATCTTTATCTTTATTGAATCGGTGGGCAGGGCTAAACAGGCAGTGCTGTAGAATCGGTGGGCGGGGCTAAACAGGCAGTGCTGTAGAAGCAGGCGTTGATCTTCTGCGGAGGCCGTGCTTATCCACACTATTACATCAGAGTAGAACATTCCACAAGCTGTCGTTTTGGCAGACTGCCTTCAATATAAGCTGTTTTTAGACCAACGAGAGAGATTCGAGTTCTGAAACTTACAGGATGTTTTTAATAGTACAATGACCTCTTACATGTCAAAAGATCAAGGAAAATTGGTTTCTCAGTTCATGACCCCTTTAAAGATGACCTGTAGAGTCATTTGTTGAATTTGTAAAGCATTAATTTCTGCCTCAGTGACACTAACGCTCTGGGCTCTTTCCTCTTCGGCAGAGCTGATTTCTCCAGCCGAGGGTTTGCCTGAAGAGTCCAAGCCCAAGCGGGGTCGGCGCACCTGGCCGAGGAAGCGGATAGCGTCGCACATGTGTGACTACATAGGCTGTGGCAAAACATACACCAAGAGCTCCCATCTCAAAGCCCACCACAGGACTCACACAGGTAACATGACTTTTTCTGTTGTGTGCATGTGCTTTAATAACAATCTAACACGCCCAAACACAGCACCAAGCGCATTGTCTGCGAGTGACTAGAGACATATATAGTGAGAGTACAGTTGGCAGGTGGTTTGATCTGCTATTCAAACAGCAGGTTGATACTGATCCCCGTTGAAATAAAACCACAAGCCTGTCCGACTTCCCCTTTTATTCAATCAACGCAGGGATGAGCAACATTTGAATTGTTGTCTCCCTCTCTCTAACGGCTTTCTCTAATGTGACCAAAGTGTGCTTGATTGTTCTCGTTAGGACCTCAGGGGGAAACGCTAACTGTTGCGTGTCTGTGTGTTCAGGAGAAAAGCCGTATCACTGTGACTGGGAGGGATGTGGCTGGAAATTCGCCCGTTCGGACGAGCTCACGAGGCATTACAGAAAGCACACGGGCCATCGGCCGTTTCAGTGCCAGAAATGCGACCGAGCCTTTTCCCGATCCGACCACCTCGCGCTGCACATGAAACGCCATCTATAACCAAGACTGGAAGACCCCCCAAAAAAGTCAAGATATTAATGGACTAGTGAACCATGTGTTGCCTTTGAACAAGAGTCAGTGAAACTAGAGCTCCATGACAAGCTGTCGTCCACAGCATCAGGGTTGGGACTTTTCGTGTTCGTTTTCTTGATTTTTTAAGTTGGCCGAGAGAGCTCAACGTGCTGCAAATGAAAAAACACATGCAAATTAAGAAAACATCTTCATCAATTTGACAACACAGGCGCTGCAAATGCTCACAACTCAAACAAAAACAGAAATGCACTGCAAATATAAATATATAACAGAGTTAGTTTTGTTGTGGTTTGTGCTACTTGCGTGTTTCTGTATTGGTTTGTGTTGAGTATTTGCAGCACATGTGCTGTCAAACTGATGATGTTTTCTTGATTTGCTGGTGCTTTTTCTATTTGCATGTGTTTTCTGAAGTTGCAGCGCATTGAGCTCTCTGAGCCACCACCATTTATCCCTTTTTGTCGTTGTCTTCCAACATGCTGGCGATTCCTGCACACTGGGACAATACTGGAACATGCGTCTACTTACCGACAAAACTTGGAGATGCCAAGTGCCAAACACAAGACTGGAAATATATGAATATCAGGGATAATAAATGGAAACATTACAATATATGTATTAAAGAGGCCTTTAATCGACCTACATTCCATCACGCGATCCTCAAAACACTGATCCGTCTTCTGGATTGTTTTATTGCTCAGCCATTAACTTCAGGTACAGAATAATTTATAAGTGTGTTACAAGATGGTGCTGAGTATAGCCAGGTGTATTCAGTAAGGTACCAAAGATACAAGTGGATTTTAATTGAAGTCTGGGAGTCTTGGGGGCGAACGCATGACCTCTGTTTGGTGACGGCAATCTAAACTGCACTGTGGTTGTGAGGTGCAATAATTTTGATATGCAAGACGCTCATATTTTTATATAAGAAACAAAAAATTAACTCTGAACAATTTTTCTGTCTATAGTCAGATTCGTGTAATATAATCTTAAGTTTTGTACATTTGTAAATACTTTTTTCCATTAAGGTTTTTGTATTTTATGTATGAATGCAATCCAGTAATAAAAATAAAAAGTATGCGAATTGACTTTTTTTTAACTCAGTAAACTGTGCATGAAGAATGTGTGATTTCATCAGTTTGCTTGCGTGTTTTACAACATGCCCGAACATTTGCATGGATTAATCTGCATTCAAACATGATCAGGTTTTTCTGCCAGTCTTAAGTTGCTAATTGCCATCTGTTTAGCAGCAGGTGTGATTCAAGACTACACTTTCTTATTCATTCCTCTATAGAATTAGTTTCAGTCTGGTTTTCTTTCGCTACATGCATTAAAGTGACCTTCCTTAATATTTGTCATTGTGCATCAGCATTTAAAAAAACAAAACTGCTCAATTAAAAAAGATGATTCACTGGTATATCATGAGATTTTAGACATGCTTTCCCAGGCTACAAGTACTCTTTTTTTTAATAAAATGGAGCAATTATGTTCTCTTAATTTCAACATTTGACTCAAACGTTTCAACAGTTCAGTGGGAATATGACAGCACCTCTTAACTAATCTATTACACGCATAACTCAATGAAACTATAGAATTATAGAACTCCTCTCTGCCTGTATTAGATGAACAGACTGAACCCGGTCTTCTCTTCACCTGTAACACAACATTACGAGCTGTGCAAGAGAACTGAAGTGCAGTGGATATCATTCAAAATGATCTTTATTGGCATGCTTTCGGATTTTTAAAGACAAGATGTGCTGTATTCATGACTTGATTAGAGCCACTCTTTATCCTACTTTTCTCATCACCATGTTGAATAGTAAAATATAGTGTGCACCGGTATTAAAAACACTGATAATAGCAAAACGGGTTTAAATTTACAAAAAAAATTTTTTTTAAACACTTTGAACATTCTTTTAATATTTGCCTAGCTGTGCATATTTTTGTTGACCTGAATGCCGACAGGTAAATGTTATAGGAGTGATGTTATACAGTGAATAAATGCATATATTGGTCTCAACATGCGGTCAACAGCGCCCTCTGGAGGACACCATGCATAAACGTTAACAGAGGCTTAACTGAATTACTCTGATGTTTAAACAAAATGTCAAATCTTTCCTTTTGGAAAAGATATGGCATCACACCTGAAAAAAGACTTGAGAAGTCGTCCAAGAAACAAATGTGAAAGCATGATTTTATGGAGGCGTTTAAAGTACGTGTGCTAAATGTACTAGAGACAGTGAATGTTGAGAGATATCAAGAACTAGAGGTCTAAATGACCGAATATTTCTTAAAATCTATTTGAATTTAATTACCAGCTGGCTAGCGTTTCAGTATTTTGGTCTAACATTTTGATTACAAGTAATATAGTTTGACTTACCTGTACGTAACACAAATCTTAACGTCGTTATCGATCACTTTATTTAACTTGCCTTTGTGAAAAATGTCTTCATACAGGGTTCCTACACCTTTCCCAAAGTACAATTCAAGCACTTTCAAGGTGCATTTTCCAGATTTTCCAGCACATTACAACTGTGGTAAATCACATGTTTACAAACATCCTCAAGTTCTTCACTTTAAATCAGAAGTTCACACATTGTGCTATTAAAAACCACCTGTGTGAACTGCACATAACAGTGCCTAATATAAATATGCCTATATTATAAATATATACAAATTAAAGAATTTACAAGGGTGTCTGCAGTATTATATTTATTTAAAATAAATAAACCGTATTTAAAATAAAATTTAAGGCTTTTTAAGATCTGCACAAATAAAACATATATATATATTTTTTTATTTAATTTATATTTTTTCCCTTTTCATTAACTGTAAGCTTTTCTACTCGCCGCGGGAGTTCACTTCGTTCGTTCTCGTGAGTGTTCACATTCCTCCGCAAGCGCACGTGAGCCTGGCTTTACAGAAACTGGGTCAACAGCGCCCTCTGGAGGACACCATGCATAAACGTTAACAGAGGCTTAACTGAATTACTCTGATGTTTAAACAAAATGTCAAATCTTTTCCTTTCCTGAAAAAAGACTTGAGAAGTCGTCCAAGAATTGATAATAATTCTCGGGGACTTTAATAAAACAAATCTCTCCCGTGAACTGCCAAAATACAGACAGCACATCACATGTCCCACCAGAGACAGTAATATATTGGATCATTGTTACTCCACAATAAAGGATGCATTTCGCTCCGTCCCCAGAGCAGCTGTGGGACTCTCTGACCACTGCCTGGTTCATCTTATACCGACTTACAGGCAAAAACTTAAATCAGCTAAACCTGTAGTAACGTCTTGTACAATCAGGCCAGAAACACACTGAATAAGGAGATTAGAGTGGCCAAGAGGAACTACGCTGAAAAGCTAGAACACCAGTTTTCTGCCAACGACCCTGCATCAGTGCGGAAAGGCCTGAAAGATGACATCAACTACAAGACGCCATCCCCCAGCACTGAGGCCAATCAACAACTTGCTGAAGACCTGAATGAGTTTTACTGTAGATGTGAAACTCCCAGTCTAACACTACACCCGCTCTGAACATCTCTCCACACAACCATCAACACCACTCTAAGACATTTGAGAGGCTGGTGTTGGCTTATCTGAAGAACATCACTGGACCTCCTGCAGTTTGCTTACCGAGCAAACAGGTCTGTGGATGATGCAGTCAACATGGGACTGCACTTCATCCTGCAACATCTGGACAAACCAGGGACTTATGTGAGGATCTTTAACTCGGCTTTTAACACCATCATCCCAACACTCCTCCAGACCAAACTAACCCAGCTCTCTGTCCTTAGCTCTATCTGTCAGTGGATCACCAGCTTTCTGACAGACAGGCAGCAGCTAGTGAGAATTGGTCAATTTAAATACAACACCCACACCATCAGCACTGGTGGCCCTCAAGGTTCTGTCCTCTCCCCACTGCTCTTCTCAACACGCTCAAAACAGTGGAGAGATGATGGTGGACTTCAGGAGGATCCCCCTGCACTCCCCCCACTCACCATCACGGACAGCACTGTGACAGCAGTGGAGTCATTCAGGTTCCTGGAAACCACCAGGATCTGAAGTGGGACACTCACATCGCCTCCATTGTTAAAAAGGCCCAATAAAGGTTGTACTTCCTTCGCCCGCCAGCTGAGGAAATTCAACCTGCCACAGGAGCTGACACTAAAACAAATTCCTTGTATTGGCAATAAAGCTCTTTCTGACTGTCTTGACTTCTGACTGAAAAAATGAATACTGTATGACCGGGGTAGGGCAATGTTTATGGTAACATAAGGGCCTTTCGCACCGCGGGAACCTTTTCATAGCACCAGAACTAATTGTGGAACTACCCACTTTTTAGCGTGTACGCACCGCCGGAACTGGGAGCGATTTTAGTACTGGACTGCCTTTTTCGAGAACCAAATTAGCTCCTACTCCGGAGCAGGGTCTAACCAGCACAACTGGTACTAATCGTGACG